ACAAGGAAAACTATACACTTCTGAAGAAAGAGATTGAGGAAGACTATAGAAAGTGGAGAGATCTCCCATGCTCATGGATTGGTAGAATCAACATAGTAAAAATGTCGATACTCCCCAAAGTAATCTACATGTTTAATGCAATTCCCATCAAAATTCCAATGACATTCATTAAAGAGATTGAAAAATCTACTGTGAAATTTATATGGAAACACAAGAGGCCACGAATAGCCAAGGCAATACTCAGTCAAAAGAACAATGCAGGAGGTATCACAATACCTGACTTCAAACTATATTACAAAGCAATAACAATAAAAACAGCATGGTACTGGCACAAAAACAGACATGAAGACCAGTGGAACAGAATAGAGGATCCAGATATGAAGCCACACAACTATAGCAACTTATCTTTGACAAAGGAGCTAAAAATATACGATGGAGAAATAGCAGCCTCTTCAACAAAAACTGCTGGGAAAACTGGTTAGCAGTCTGCAAAAAACTGAAACTAGATCCATGTATATCACCCTATACCAAGATTAACTCAAAATGGATCAAGGATCTTAATATCAGACCCCAAACTCTTAAGTTGATACAAGAAAGAGTAGGAAATACTCTGGAGTTAGTAGGTATAGGTAAAACTTTCTCAATGAAACCCCAGCAGCACAGCAACTAAGAGATAGCATAGATAAATGGGACCTCATAAAACTAAAAAGCTTCTGTTCATCAAAAGAAATGGTCTCTAAACTGAAGAGAACACCCACAGAGTGGGAGAAAATATTTGCCAATTATACATCAGACAAAGGACTGATAACCAGAATATACAGGGAACTTAAAAAACTAAATTCTCCCAAAACTAATGAACCAATAAAGAAATGGGCATGTGAACTAAACAGAACTTTCTCAAAAGAAGAAATTCAAATGGCCAGAAACACATGAAAAAATGCTCACCATCTCTAGCAATAAAGGAAATGCAAATTAAAACCACACTAAGATTCCACCTCACCCCTGTTAGAATAGCCATCATCAGCAACACCACCAACAACAGGTGTTGGCGAGGATGGGGAAAAAGGAACCCTTTACACTGTTGGTGGGAATGTAGACTAGTACAACCACTCTGGAAAAAAATTTGGAGGCTACTTAAAAAGCTGGACATCGATCTACCATTTGATCCAGCAATACCACTCTTGGGGATATACCCAAAAGACTGTTACTCCAGAGGCACCTGCACATCCATGTTTATTGCGGCACTATTCACAATAGCCAAGTTATGGAAACAGCCAAGATGCCCCAGCACTGACGAATGGATTAAGAAAATGTGGTATCTATACACAATGGAATTTTATGCAGCCATGAAGAAGAACGAAATGTTATCATTCGCTGGTAAATGGATGGAATTGGAGAACATCATTCTGAGTGAGGTTAGCCTGGCCCAAAAGACCAAAAATCGTATGTTCTCCCTCATATGTGGACATTAGATCAAGGGCAAACACAACAAGGGGATTGGACTTGAGCACATGATAAAAGCGAGAGCACACAAGGGAGGGGTGAGGATAGGTAAGACACCTAAAAAACTAGCTAGCATTTGTTGCCCTTAACGCAGAGAAACTAAAGCAGATACCTTAAAGCAACTGAGGCCAATAGGAAAAGGGGACCAGGAACTAGAGAAAAGGTTAGATCAAAAAGAATTAACCTAGAAGGTAACACCCACACACAGGAAATCAATGTGAGTCAATGCCCTGTATAGCTATCCTTATCTCAACCAGCAAAACCCCTTGTTCCTTCCTATTATTGCTTATACTCTCTCTACAACAAAATTAGAGATAAGGGCAAAATAGTTTCTGCTGGGTATTGAGGGGGGGAGGGAGGGGTGGAGTGGGTGGTAAGGGAGGGGTGGGGGCAGGGGGGAGAAATGAACCAAGCCTTGTATGCACATATGAATAATAAAAGAAAAATAAAAAAAAAAAAAAAAAAAAGAAGCCATTTGTCAATAACCACAAAATAACCTGCTGGGACTTAATTGGGATTGTACTGAATCTCTACAGCAAGTTGGGAAGAATTGGCATCCTGGCAATATTAAGTCTCTCCATTTGCATAGTTCCCTCTTTTTACTTCTTTCATCAGAGTTTTGTAGTTTTCCCCATAGATCTTGTATTCTTTGATCAACACCCAAGTATTTGTTTTCAGGGGTGCTAATGTAAATGGTATTATGTTTTGTTTGTTGATGGGACTGGAATTTGAATTCAGGGCTTCCCACTTGCAAAGCAGGCTCTCTACTGCTTGAGCCACACCTCCAGTCCATTTTACTCTGGTTATTTTGGAGATGGGGATCTTGAGAATTATTTGCCCAGGCTGACCTTGAACCATGATCCTCCTGATCTCAGCCTCCCAAGTGGCTAGGATTATAGGCATGAGCCACTGACACCTGACTGATGGTATAATTTTAAATTTCAAATTCCTCTTGTTCATTGGTGTCCTCTCTCTCTCTCCCTCCTTCCCTGTATTTACTGTTGTGTATCCACTTTATTTAGCCTGGATTCCCTGGGTCCCCTGTGTGACTTCAAGCCCTTGGGGTTATTTATTTTTCACCCATGTCTAAGGAAAGTTGTCTGTATTCCAGAATTCACAGAGAAAGTCCTGAGTTTTACTTTCTATGAATCAATTCCTGTGCTTAGACAAATGCACACAGTATTGTCTTCATTTTCTTCTCTTTTAATAAAGGCTTTGTTGAGCTATACCTGACACATCCTACAATTCACATATTTAAAATGGTTTTAGTAGACTACTGAGTTATGCAACCATCCTCACAACCAACCTTTAGAGCATTCCTCTCCAAGAAGAAATGACACATTAGTCGTTCACACAATGGTTTTTAGTCCCAGCTTACCTGAGCCAGTTTCTCTGACTAAGGCTGGGCATGGGGTCACTCAACCCATGTGAACAGCCACACAGTAGGGGATGAGTGGAAAGGATGTCAGAAAGGAGGACAGAGTTCAAGACCAGCCTGGACTACATAGCACCATGTTATTGGAGGGGAAAAAGTAGGCCAGATTTCATGTAGAAGGGATACAGTGTCCAGGTTTGGGGAAGCCTGTCCTTGGAGACAGATGAACTACACAGAAATGTAAGGGTGTAAGGGACTGGAGAATCTTGTCAACCAGAAGGTGAAGTTCATGTGGAGGAATGGCATGGGATGACACGGACACATCTCTTAGTTTCACAACTCTGACAGTTCTTGCTGATGGATTTCCAGTGCTATTCAGTGCCCAAAGGCTCTGAGTCACTTAGCTTTTGTAAAATAATCCTCCTTTCCATTTATTGAGTGTTTATCATGTGCCAGGGGCTGCCTTTTTAAGGACAGTTTTCCTTCCCAGTACCCCGGTGTGTTAACTACCTATTACCTTTTCTCTGATAAGGAAACAGACTCAAAGTCACCTTCCCAAGGTCATACAGCAAAAAGGACAGAGCCTGGATGTGGACCCAGCTCTGAGTCACTCACCTTTTTAGATAACCCATCCAAAAGTGTCTCTTTAAGTACAATTATATACACGTCTTCACGCAAACAGTAACGTGGCTCAACTTTACTCGGTAGACTGAAGAGGTCATGCCATACCTTTATATAACTTTCTGTCATGTATGTGCTTTTTTTTTTCCTGCTACAGAGTGTTCTGCTGATGGGATGCCCTCTAATTATTCCTCCAGTTCCGTATGGAAGGGTAATTTAGGTTATTTCTAGATTTTTGCTACTATAGTAACTGTTTTCAAGCTAGTATCTTAGCTCCCTTCAACAAGTCTATCTGTAGAAGAAATTCCTACTGGGTCAAAAAAATGAGTTTTCAAGTCTGAACTCTATCAAATTTCCCTCCAATAAGCTTGTCCCATGAGAGCAGTGAGCTGTTTTAAATTCATTGAGCACCCAGGGTCCCCTGAGCTTGTGAAGACTTGGGGAGTCTTTCCCTGGCCACTCACCCCCACCCATTCCCACAGTCCCACCATACTGACTCTGTGTTCCTCCAGTGGCCAGGCTAGTTCCCACGTCAGAGCCTTACAACGTGCAGTTCCTTCATCTAAACTGCCCTTCTTCCCAGGTCTTCCTGTGGCTCACTTTTTCCCCCTCCAGTTAAAGTTGCCCCAGGCCACTTTTGATGGCCTCCCTGAGTTTTATTTCCTTTTCAGACCTTAACACTACCTGAAATTATCTTATTATCTTCTTGTGGCTTTCTTGCCTTCCCTGGCTCTACACACACAGCTGTATTTCCAGCTCCTAGCAGTCACTCAGTACACATTGCTGCCTCTCTTCTCCCTCTCCCATAAACTACTTTACTTTTCTCCATATAATGTATTCCCTTCTAATATAATTTACTTATTATATATATCGTCTGACTTCCTCACTAGACTGTCAACTCCAGGAGAGAAGGGATCTTGATTGGCTCGCTTTAGGATCTCAAGAGTCAGGGTCTCACTGTGCTGCCCAGGGTGGCTCTGAACTCCGGGATTCAAGTGATCCTCCTTTCTCAGCCTGAGTAGCTGTGACTACAGATGCGTACTTCCCACCGCGCCCGGCTTCTGAAATGCTTAGAATGATGTATCGCACATAATAGGTGTTACATAATTGATGTTGAGTGAACGAGTGAATGAGGGAGGACCATAACCCCCATCCTCCAGGGCTGGCTGGCTGTCCTTCCAAGGAACAGGATGTCTCTGTTAAAAATCAGGTGGGGCCATTTCTGTCCGCTGAGGAGGCGCTGATGCCTCCAGGTGAAGAGCTCCGAGCAAGCCCGGCCTGCTGGCCAGGTGGGGGCGGAGCTTGTTGCATGGGTGGGAGCGGTAAACTCAGCCGCTGGCCCCTTGCCCCGGAAGCCCCGCCCCGTCCAGGATATCCCGCCCACCCCCTTAAGGCCCCACCCCACGAGGGAGGCTTCCCACGTTCCCGGCCCCCGAGGCCCCGCCCCGTCCCGAGGCCACGCCCACTCCGACCCTGCGGCCCCGCCCGTCAGCCGGCCGCGGCTCCGACCTTGCAGCGGCGCAGCGCGCGAGGGAGGCGGGAGGAGCAGCGGGCGGAGCCGCGCTGAGGGAGCGCAGCGCCGCGAGCCGGAGCGGTCTCCAATGAGCCGCGCCGAACCTGCGGTCCCAGCCACACAGACCCGCTGCGCGCCCCCGTCCCCGGGCTCACCTGGTGCCAGGTAGCAGGTAAGGGCGCGGCGCTCGGGACCCCCGACCCGGGACCTTACGAAGCCGTGGCGCCAGGCCGGACACCGGTGAGGGGGCGTCTGGCTACCTCTGCCTCGGTGGGAGCAGCATCTCGGTGGAAGGTGGGAGCCTCGTGGGGGCCTTCCGGGCGCCTGCCCCGGCACCCCGGAGCCCGCATCCGCGGGTCCCAGCCCCCCATCTCTGCGGCATCCTTTCTGCGCCCGCAGGGTGAATGTTGCTTTTTTTTTTTTTTTTTTAAAGCCCTCGGGCGACGCAGTCTCTGGAAAAATGGTGCTGGGGAGTGTGTGAGGTGATTCTGGGAGGACAGTTGTCCCCGCAGGTTCCCGCTGGCGTGACTTCTGAGGACTGCCCATCACGGCGGGCCCGCCCAGGCATCCCGAGCGCCCTGGCTGCGGCGGAGGCTGGAGGGCGGCTTGGGCGAAGCGCTTCCCTCCCCTCAGTCTCCCCAGCTGCCCAATGGGCGGGCGCCGCTCTCGCACCCTCCCGCACCCTCCCCGCCCGCCCTTGTTTCTGGGCCTCCTCCCCAGGCTGCGGGAGCTGAGATAGCTGTAAACTGGGCTGACAGGGTTCCCGCCCTCTGCCCCTCCCCCTGGAGATGCGGGGGTCCCTGTGCCTCGCTTCAGATGGCGCAGCGCCAGGTGACAAGAGGACGGTTGTAGCCAGGGCTCCTCCAGTTTGCTTGGCCTAAAGCCACGAGCTACCTGAGGCAACTTTCCCATGTGCCAGGAGGAGGGGCAGTCCCAGCGTGGGATGTGGATGTGATGGCCCAGCAAGGGTGGCAGTAAGGATGGCAGCCAAAGCAGGTCCCCGCCTCCAGAGACCCCACTGCAACTTCCTTCCACCAAATGGGCCTGTCACCAGTCCCTGCTGCCTCCGCCTTTCCTTCTCTGGGCCCACTTCATGAGGGTGACACCGCAGCCTCTATGTGCCACCAAGTCAGGACCCTTTTTCCCTGTCCCTCAGTAGTCTGGGCAAGGGCCCACCACAGGGTCAAGTCTTGGGTTTCTGTTCTCCTTCATTCATTTTCCGCAGGTCACAAACTTCAAGCTGGGATGAGCATGATGACCTGAGCCTCCCGGGGCAGTGGGTCACTGAGCCTGGAGGTGCTGGGTGCTTGAAAATAATAGCTACTGTGGGTGTTATAATAGTTACTTATGATCTCCTGGCTGTTCCAGACTTCCACACTTTCCTTTTGGGGGCTTTTTTTTTTTTTTTTTTAAATCTCTGGTGGCACTGGGACTTGAACTCAGGGCCTCACGCTTGCTAGACAGGCTTAATGGCTCTTACACTCTGAGCCACTCCACTAGCCCTTTTTTGTTAAGGATTTTTCAAGATAGGGTCTCCCAAACTATTTACTCAGGGCTGGCTCCAAACTGTGATCCTCCTGATCTCTGCCTCCTGAGTAGCTAGAATTAACAGGCATGAGCCACCAATACCCTGCTTAGATTTCTTTCTTTTCCTTTTTTTTTTATGGCTCTGGGGTTTGAACTGAAGGCCACACATTTGCTAGATAGGTGAATACTTTCCTTTTCTGCAGCTGACATCTAGAGGTGCTCGACCAGCATTTCTACTGGGAAAGAAAGACTTCTACAAGACCCCCCCAGAGGGGAGGGGGTAGTTTGCCAATCCTGTGCCACTGTTCCTGGGCCATGTTGGGTCCTGGGTAGGGACTGCTGTGGCCTCTGGCCATTACCTGTCCTTGTCTCTTAGGCTGCACATTTCACCCATGTGCCCACAATTTGCCCTCCATCTCTACCTGGCTGAATCCAGCTGCATCCTTGGAGTCAGGTAGATGGAGGGCAGGAACACGCCTCCAAACAGCCTCACAATCCCCATCCTCCACCTCCAAGTCTTAGCTTGTGGTCTTATCCCCTTCATTCTGGAGCTCAATAACTTTAAAAATAACAAGAGTAAACTGCCCCCACTGAGGACTGTAACCCAACCTAACCCCAGTTGGATTCTGCTTTTAGGGAGCTTGGAGTAGAAGAACTCAGCCCTGGGGTTGGGGGTGGGGCAGGGGATCAGGTGCCATCGCTGCTCTGCCCTGGGTGGCTCTACAAACATTTCACCTCCACACTTGCAGAGCTTCTGGTTCCCCATCTGCAAATCATGCTTCAGTAGTCTGTGATTTTTGGTGTTTGGAGTTTTGTATATTCCAATGAAGATAAATAGTTGGGCTGGGGAGTGTATCTTGTGACAAAGCTCCTACTTAGCATGCACAAGGTAATGGGTTCAATCCCCAGCACAAAAAACAAAAACAGTTGGGCTGCCAGGTGGGCAGCTGGCTGCCTGGGCTGTCAGAGTATGGGGAAGGAATTCCCCCAGTGACTGGGAGTCCTAGGTGGGGAGAGCCAGCAGCCTCTGGGCTATAGGCCAGCCTCCCATCTCTGGCTAATCTGCTGAGTCTCAGCCCCTTTCTGGGGCCATGGATCCCTGTGCCCACCAAGAGGAGGCAGCAGCTGTCTATGGCTGGGCTGGCAGGAGGCCTGGAGTAGTGCTAGGCCAGGAGCTTCCCTTCCTGGGCTTTAGCTGGAGCTCACCCACTCACTTGCTCCCCGAGGCCTCTGCATTGCAGTACAGAGCCTGGGAGGCTGTGCTGGCAGTTCAGCTCAGGATGGGATGGGATGGGATGGGATGGAGCAAGGGCGGACTGGGCAGGAATGCCTTCCTGTCTTATACTCTCTCCACACCCTGACCCCACTTGGCCCTGGCTCCCTTTGGAGCTGCTGACTAAGCAGCTCCAAGTGACATATCTGAGATGGGCTTGAATGTGCTTGGAGGCACTGGAATGACGGCAGGGCCATCACACCCCAAGCCCTCTGCATCTCAAGCCCCTCCTTAGTATCAGTAGAGGTCTTGCCTACTCCCCAAAAAGGCTATTTTTCAGGGTTAAAGCTTTGGAATTGACAGCACTGATTTTGGAGCTTCCTGTCCTAGCTTGCTTAGCTGCATGATCTGGGGCAGATCATTTGTCCTTTCTGTGCCTCAGTCCTCAGTTTTCTCAACTATCAAATGGGGATAATAATAGAACCTACTTAATATGATTCTTGAGTTAATGTATGCAAACTGCTTAAAACAGTATTTTCTATGTTAATATAAATGTCAACTGTTATTGTTATTATCATCCTTACATCATTATCACCTCTGCTGCTTGACTGAACCCCCTCTGATTTGGACCCTGTTAGCATTTGTTGTTTTGAGAAGTCTTAGCTTAATGATTAAGAGCTAGATCCTTGATTCAAACAGCTCTAAGTTCTGCTATTCACCAGCTATGTGATCTTGGGCAAGTTATTGTCTTCTCTGGGCCTCACTTTCTCTACTTGCTAAATGGGGATAATGACAGTGAAAAACTGTTATGAGGACTGATTAAGTGACTGCACATGAGGCACACATCTCAGGGCAGGGCCCAGAGAAAGCACTGCATTACATAACTACTGCAGTTAGTAGACACCTGCCATACACCAGGCTATGTGCTGGGCTCCTTCACATACCAACTCAAGTGCTGGTTGGGTATTTGTTGGCTGGGTGTCTGGAGCAAGTGACTTTGTCTCTTTGTGCCTCAGTTTTGCCAGCTATAAGTGAGAATGGGGAGAAACTGGGTTATGTGATATCGGACCACGACACAGCATGAAGTTGGTTCTGTAGGTGAGGAGAGAGGGCTTCCCTTAGGTGGGCTGCCTCAGACATGACCCAGTGATCTCCTGTGTTTCAGGGCCTTCCTTTCCACATGGGGCTCAGAGATTTTGCAGATGGGACAACAAAGCCCCTTCCCAGGAAGGGCTGGTCAGAAGGCAGTGCCCAGGGACACACCCCAGTCTGGTCCCAATTCTACCCTGGACAAACCCAGGAGGTCACTAGGTCAACTTTTTTATTTTTTAATTTATTATTATTATTATTACTTTTGGTGGGACTGGATCTGAACTCAGGGCTTCATGCTCAAGCAAGTACTCTACAGCTTGAGCCATACCTCCTCCATTTTGTTGTGGTTATTTTGGAGATAGGGTCTCATGAACTATTTCCCCAGGCTGGCCTTCTGATGTCAGTCTCCCAAGTAGCTAGGATTACAGGTGTGAGCCACCATCACCTGTCCTTTTTACCAGGCCTGTTCTTAAGGTTCCACAGCTCTGGGGTCTGCCAGGTCCACTGAGTCCTGAGGGGTCCAGTGCACAAGGTGCTAGGATGAAGTAGACATCAAGATCACCAAAGAGTCCTAGGGCTGGGGATGATGGCCAGCCTGAGCTGGACAAAAAGATCTGGAAACTTCTAAGCACATGCAAAGGTCTCTGGGTTGCTGTGGGACCTGAAAGCCAGCCACCCCACCCCCTTCAGTCTACTGCTTTGTCAGAGGTGAAGGTTCAGTTAAGGTCTTGTGGTATACAGTTGGTAACAACCAATAGCAATTATGTGCCAGGCACTGTGCCCGCACTGATGCCCACTGGACCTACAAACACTGCACTCAAGTGAGGAAATAGGTTCAGAGAATAAGTAGTGTTAAAAACAGCACCATCAATTGATGGCAACCTGCTAATCTCAACATCACAATCATGGGGGTGACAAAGCCCTCCAGGTCTTCCCCTCCTGTCCCTTCTTTGACTGCTTGGAGCTTCCTTGCTTTCCTCAAGTACATGAGGCACACTCCTGCCTCAGGGCTCTGGCCTTCTCTGCTCCACCTGTTCAAAATGCTTCTCCTATACATGTCCACATGGCAGATTCCCTCATCTCTTTCAGGTCTCTTTCAAGTGTTATCTTCTTAGCAAGATCCTCCCTGAACCTCTTATTTAAAATTCCTTCAGTCCCCTCACCCCCTTCACCCCTCTTTTCTCCCCATAGCCTTTATCTCTTAACATTCTATGTCATTTACTGATTAATCTGTCTCGGGCTGGGATGTAGTTTAGTGGTAGAGTGCTTGCCTAGCATGTGCAAGGCCCTGGGTTCCATCCCTAGCACCAAAAACCACAAAAATATGTATCAGTCTCCCCCAGGACCATGTCATCGCTAATGTAAATTTTTTTTTTTTGACAGTACTGGGGCTTCAACTCAGGGCCTCACACTTGCTAGACTTTACTAAGCAGGTGCTTTATCACTTGTGCCACTCCACCAGCACATCATCTCTATAAGACTAGGGATCTTTGTTATTTTTGTTCATTGTTAAATCCTAACAGAACGAACAGAGTCTGGCTGGGCACAGTGGTTCACATCTATAATCCTAATCACTCAAGAGGTAGAGATAAAGAAGATCACAGTTTGAGGCCAGCCCAGGCAAAAAGTTCACAAGATCCCCATCTTAACCAATAAAAGCTAGGTGTGGTGGCACACATCTATCATCCCAGCTATATGGGAAGCATAAATAGAGGACTGTGCTCCAAGGTGGCCCAGGCATAGATACGAGATCCTATTCAAAAGATACCTAAAGCAAAAAGGGGTGGAGGTGTGGCTCAAGTGAAGTGTGAGGCCCTGAGTTCAGCCCTCAGTACCACCACCACCAAAAAAAAAACCAGCCAGGCGCTGGAGTCTCATGCCCGAAATCCTAGCTACTTGGGAGGGAGATCAGGAAGATTGCTGCTCTAGGCCAGCCTGGGCAAGTGGTTCTCAAGACCACATCTCCACAATAACCAGAGCAAAATGAACTAGAGGTGCGGCTCAAGCCACAGAGTGCCTGCTTTGTAAGCATGAAGCCCTGAGTTCAAACCCCAATCTCACTGAAAAAAAAAAAAAAGACAAAGTCTGTCTCCATAGCAGTTGCTCAATAAATATTCCTCAAATGAGTGGGAACTCATAACACCCCAGGAAGTCAGTATTCTTATTGCCATCTCACAGATAAGGAAACTAAGGCTCAGAGATGCCAGGTGTCTTGCTCAGGGTCACGCAGCCCCAAGCAGCAAACTCAACCCAGGCCCTCATGCTCACTGTCACCCTTGTAGGTCTGGCCTTGCCCCACAGACAATGATGGCCTTGCCCCGGTGAGGTACAGCCTGCGCTTGGACACCCGCCCTCTGCCAGCCATCAGGATGCGGCTGTGGAAGGCGGTGGTGGTGACCCTGGCCTTCATGACCACGGACATTGGTGTGACCACGGCGATCTATGCCTTCAGCCACCTCGACCGCAGCCTGCTGGAGGACATCCGCCACTTCAACATCTTTGACTCGGTGCTGGACCTCTGGGCTGCCTGCCTATACCGCAGCTGCCTGCTACTAGGGGCCACCATTGGTGTGGCCAAAAACAGCGCCCTGGGGCCCCGGCGGCTGCGAGCCTCATGGGTCGTCATCACCCTCGTGTGCCTCTTTGTGGGCATCTACGCCATGGTCAAGCTGCTACTCTTCTCAGAGGTGCGCAGGCCCATCCGGGACCCATGGTTCTGGGCCATCTTTGTGTGGACGTACATCTCGCTCGCTGCCTCCTTCCTGCTCTGGTGGCTGCTGTCCACTGTGCGGCCTGATGCCGAGGCCCTGGAGCCCAGGGCTGGTGCCGAGGCTGAGGGCTTCCACAGGGAGGACCGGCCACCTGCTGAGCAGGCATCTGGGGCCACACTGCAGAAACTGCTCTCTTACACCAAGCCTGACGTGGCCTTCCTTGTGGCTGCCTCTTTCTTCCTCATAATGGCAGCTCTGGGTAAGTGAGGACCTTGCCCCAGGAATTCACTATGGGGAGCCCCGCCACCTCTTTTTCCCTCTTGAATGTGTACCGTTTTACTTAACACTGTTCAAACCTCCAAGTGAAATGAAAAGGAAAACATTGTGAATTTCACTCCTATGCCTATCCTTCTGCCCAGGACTAACTACAAAAAAGATAGTCAGAACTTCCAGGTGGACAGGAAAAACACTTTTTCTCCTTTTTTTTATGCTTCCAGTGTTTACTTATGCAGCTACAAGCACGTAGGACACATCACTCTTCACCTTGACCATACTGTTTGGTGTTTTGCTCTTTTCACTTAATATATTCTGGAATTTCCCATCAGGATTCTGTTCTTTTCTCTGGCTATGTAGTATTCCATTGTGTGGCTACAGCATAGGTTTTTCAGCTGGTCTCCCATTGTTGGGCTCTTGGGTTATTTCAGGTCTTTTTCTTTTACAATGAGTAACGCTGTTCTTACACATTTCCTATGACTATGAATGGATCTTCGGACTAAATCACTAGAAGTAGAGTCCCTGGGTCAAAAGGGATTTTGGTAATAAAACAGAGTAGAATAGAAAACCTATGAGAATGTTCCCTGTAGTAAGATAAAGACTTGTTTTGTGGATTTCTTTTTTTTTTTTTTGGTGGTACTGGGAATTGAACTCAGGGCCTTGCTAGGAAGGTGCTGTACCACTTAAGCCACCTCAACTCATTTTGATTTAAATTTTTCTTTTCAGATAGGGTCTTAAGCTTGACTTTATCTGTAATCATCTCACTTCCACCCCCTGAGTGACAGGCATGGCTCCCAATCTGTGGAATTTTTATTTTATTTATATATACTCACATGTATGTCTTGGCTTGGAAGCAAAATGTGGTGATTGGTGTGATCTGGTCCCCTCCAGCAACATGAGCTGGAAGGTGGCATTGCTCCCTGGATGCTAGTGCCAGCAAGGCCTGGGTACAAACACTGGTCCTGCTTCCTGCCCAGCTGTGTGACCTTGCACAAGTCTGTAAACCTTTCTGAACTTTACATCCCTCTTCTGTGGAAGGGGAATCAGTAAAGTCCTTATTTCCTGGCCTTGTGAACATGAATTAAAAATGCACCTACAGGACAAGTAGGTGCTGGTGGCTCACCCCTGTAATCTTAGCTACTTAGGAGGCAGAAATTGAGAGGATCGAGATTCAAAGCCAGTCAGGGCAAATAGTTCACAAGACCCTATCTCGAAGAAACCCATCACAAAAAAGGGCTGGTGGAGTGGCTCAAGGTTTAGGCCCTGACTTCAAACCCCAGTACTGCAAAAGAAAAAAAGGGAAAGGTTTATTTTGACTCAGAGGTTTCGTTTACTATCGGCTGACTCCAGTGCATTCTGGCTTGTGGCAAGACAGAACATCAATGGTGACAGTGTGGTAGAGCAAAGCTGCTCGCCCCATGGTGGCTGGGAAGCACAGAGAGATAGAGGAAGGGACTGTGGTCCCCCCATCTCCTTCAAGTGTACACCCCCAATGATCCAGTTCCTCAAGCTAGGCCCACCTCCTAAAGGTTACACCCCTTCCCAATAGTGTCAGGGGCTGGGGACCAAGCCTCCAACACATGAGCTTTTGGGAAGACATTTAAGATCCAAACCATATGTCACCGTCACATCACTGGTGATAAGACGAGGGGAGCAAAGGCCTTAGACAGCCCCTGGCGTACGGAAAGCCCCATAGATAATGGTGACTGGGTATTGGGGTGACCCCTTTCTGTTTAGCCAGACAGTTCTTCCTGCTCCAGCTTCAAGGACCAGATGTCCCTCCTTGGGAAGCTTTTTGGATCCTACCAACTGGCCTTTATCTGCACCTCAGTTACAGTGTTGATGGCAGAAGTCATGCCCTGTCCTGCCTCCCCTACCAAGCCTAACTCACCCTGGATCCACATCCCAAGCACTGAGACAGGCTCACTTTGTGAATGAGTAAAGGCATGAGTGGCCATCTTGTCTGCATGGACAGATGTTACCCCACGACTTTGTGTGCAGGGCCTTGTCAGCTGATGTACACTTGCAGAACACAGATGTCCTACAGCACAGCTGAACAGACTTCGCTAGCCTGTAGGTCTGGGTGAAGGTCAAGGACTCAGATTGAGCACAGGCCCCCGACTTTACTGCTAACTTTAGGCCAGTTATTTAACCTGGCCAATCCTCAGTCTCCCATCTTGAAATGGGGCTTTGTTTGGGCTCTTGTGAGCTTTAAATGAGATGCAGCATGGTGCTTAACAAAAGTGATAGTGTTAGGTACTGTGATCATGAAGTACTATTGTTCAGTCAATGAACATGCATTCCTACCTTTTTCTGTAACCTAAAATGAAGAAAGGAGGGAAGGAAGGAGGGAAAGAAAGGAAAAAAGAAAAAACCCCTCCCACTCACTGGGGGGGGAATGGTTAATTATAGTGTTGACTATTTCCTATGAAATCAGGATTCTTTTTCTTTCTCTTTGAAATCATGATTTTTGTTGTTGTTTTGCTTTGGGAGACAGGGCCTGTATGTAGCCCAGGCTGGCCTCAAATTTTCCACCCTCCTACCTCAGCTTCTCTAGTGCTGGCATTACAAGTGTGACCACCACACCTGGCTAGGATTCTTTAATGTGGATTTCTTGGCACCCCAACTGTAAACGTGGGCAAGTGACTTAACTGCTGTGAGCTCCAGTCTCCTTTTCTGTAAAAAGACTGTACACCCACAAACAACAAGAACAAACTACCAAACCCATGGGACATTGGCTGCATTTGGGACGTAAAGGAGATAAGATATCTGGGGTGAGAGTGCTCCAGGCAGAGACCAGTCATGCAAAGGTCCTGAGGCAGATGTGCGCCTTGGTTGATAAAGAAATAGCAGAGGCCAATGTGGCTGGAGTGGAGTGAACAAGGTGGGGAAGGTAGAAGACTTAAATCAGGTCACTCACAGGGGCACTATCACAAGGATTGTCATGCGCCATTGCAAAAACATTGGCTTTGCCCTGGATTAGGTAGGAGCCAGCAGACTGTATTGAGCCAAGGGGAAGAAAGAGCTGAGTGGGCTTTTACAGGACCACTCTCTGCCGGTGCAGGGAAGGGCAGAAGAGTGGGAGTGGTTACTGAGCTGGTTGGGTGGGACTGGTGGCTTGGAGCAGCCTGGGGCATTGAAGCAGTGCAGGGGTTGGATTCTGGAAGTCTCCCAAAGACAGGACTCAAAGGTTCATGTGATGCTTGTGCACATTTGAGTTTGGATAATGCTTTGCATGGCACCCAGGACCCGCTAAGTTTGTCATTGTCACCGGTGCTTGCTGTCAGAGCTGCCTTATGTTCTTTTCTTCCCTATGGGTAAACTGAGGTAGAACTGCAGCTCAGTTGGAATTCAGCTGGCCAAAGCCCAGGGATGGGAGGCCTTCTAGGCTGCCACCTGGTGGCTCCTGTGCCATGTCCAGCAGAGGGCACCAGAGCCACACAGCAGACCTTGCTGGTCAGGGCCAAACAGCTTGCGTGGCAGGGTGTTCTCTTTATTGACCACCTACCTGAGGCCCAGCTTGAAGCCCAGCTCTGCCTGGAAGGCTGCAGGGAAAGCATGTCCTGAGAGAGGAAGGACCCGGCCAGAGTTCCGCATCTCACAGCCAACATTTCCAGACACTGGGCATCGGACTGTTGGGTTTTTCTTTTTTTTTACAGCACTGTCAACTAAGGGCCTCACACTTGCAAGGCAGGTGCTCTTTTATTTTTTTTTTATTTATTTGCTCTTTTTATTTATTTATTTATCTTTTTTATTAGGATATATTTGTTATACGGGGGGAATGCATAGTGATTTCCTATTAGAAACTCCCCCTCCCCCTCCCACAAGTACCCCCCCTACATTGTACCTATTTTACAGTCCTGTCTTTCATTATTAATATTTAAGTTGATGTTCAAAGGGGTTTCTCAATGAATGCCCACTATGGATAGTCTTTGCTTTGGTCTGTTTAACCCCTTCCTTTACCCCTTTACCTCCCACCCCCCCATTTTTCAACAGCTTTCAATACACATCCTATATCCTCTACCTTCATGTCTTGTTTTACGATATTACTGATGCTGTATCGTTCTTTTCCTTTCCTTCTTTCCCCAAGTCCCATAGAGAAGTTCCCCTGTTACACAAGTGTTCTAAATATGAGTAGGTGCTTTTAACACTTCAGCCACTCCACCAGCTTTTTTTTTTTTAATGGGATTGGGATTTGAACTCGGGTTTGCACTTGCTAAGCACACTCTTCACCACTTGAGCCACACCTCTAGTCCATTTTGGTTATTTTGGAGATGGGGGGGTCTCATGAACTATTTACCTAGGCTGGCCTTGCACTGTGATCCTCCTGAGCTCAGCCTCACAAGTACGTAGGATTACAGATGTGAGCCACTGACACCCAACCACATTCTAGATTATTGGGGGCAGTTGTCTTAATCTGTTTATGCTGCTACAACAAAATCCCCCAGCCTAGGTAGTCTGTAAACAATAGAAAAGTCTTGCTTACAGTTCTGGAGTCGGGGAAGTGAGGCCCAAGGTGCAAGCAGTATCTGGAGGGTTGCTCTCAGTTCCAAGATGAGGCCTTGTTGCTGTATCCTTAGGAGGGAAGGACACTGTGTCTTCACATGTAGAATGCCAAGGTCAAGAGAGGGCCAACCTTCTCTGGCAAGCTGTAAAGGGCCCCACCAAGAGAGGCAGTGCAGCAATTGCCAGTGTCAGCACCTTACAAGGTTCTAGAATTTGGACTCTGACCCCTCTACCAAGGAGAAGAATGAAATCACCGTTGGCGTCAGTCATCAGATGCTTAGCTGTGTGGCCTGGGTGTGGCATCTTACCTCAGCTTCTCTTTCCTCATGTGTAAAATGGCCGATGACAGGGCCACCACCAAGGGAAAGAGACAGCCCACAGAATGTCTTCTTCTGAAGAGAAGGGCAGTAGGCAGCACAGGGCCGGTGGAGGGAAGCAGAGGTTTTCTAGGAGGAAAGGTCACCTGTAAAGTGAGCACAGAGGATAGAGTGTGGTCTCCCCACTATGCGCAGCCACCCTGAGCCCACCCTGCCTCCTGCAGGCGAGACCTTCCTGCCCTACTATACAGGCCGCGCTATCGACAGCATTGTCATCCAGAAGAGCATGGATCAGTTCAGCACGGCTGTCGTCGTCGTGTGTCTGCTAGCCATCGGCAGGTAGCCGCTCGACCCTGTGCCCTGTCCCACACATCCCTCGCCTTCACCTAGGAGGGAGGAAAGGAAATGTGAGGCCTCAGACATGTCCCACATGTCTTGAGCAGCTCTCAAGATGGCTTAGAACCCACACCCCTTTAGTTGAACCACATCCTAGAACCATACCCTCTTGTCCCTAAAAATGGTTTAGTCCCCAAGGGCTCCCTCTCACCATCCCTGGCTGATGTCTGAGCAGGAAGCTGGGCCTAAAAGGAGGACTTGTTTTGTGCTATTCTGGAAGGGAAAGAGATGAGCTGACAGATTTGGGTCCTTTGCCACAAGGGAGACCCTACAGTCATGCTGGCCCTGGAAAGTGGCCTGAGGTTGAGCACCTGCCTTTGCCCCCCAAGGGGCCCTCACCTGCCGGCAGTGGGAGGGGCCGGGTGGTGTCTGTTGCTTGTCAGAAGGACATCGTGCTATAACATCTCTTATCTGCAATTAGCTCATTTGCCGCAGGTATTCGGGGCGGCATTTTTACCCTCATATTTGCCAGACTGAACATTCGCCTCCGAAACTGTCTCTTCCGCTCGCTGGTATCTCAGGAGACAAGCTTCTTTGATGAGAACCGCACAGGTTGGTACTCAAGAGACTTGGTGTCAAGGGTGGGCTTGCCTCCTGTTGAGGAGTCAAGTGGGTATATCGTAGTCTTGGCTTTCCTGACCCTTCTTGTGGTCAAGTTCAGGGTGGAAACACACAAGGGCTTGGCTTGCATCATAAGTCCATTCTGAACCCTGGGGAGCTGGCCTGCCTGCTGAGGTTTTGGTGTGAGTTGTGGCCTCCTAGGACCCTCGCCAGGCCACCCGAGGTCCCTGGAGAGACCAAGGCCTCACTTCTCACTGCCCTGTGGAAGCCACAAGGGCCAGGAATGCCTAAACTTGTGGCCTGCAAAGGCCCAGCTCCTACGTTCTGAGCAGTGGAATTCAGGCCAGCAAAGGCCCAGCTCCTACGGGCTTAGCAGTGGAATGCAGGCCACTGCAGGGAAGGAAATATAGCATCCAGCCAAGGTCACAGTATTGAGACAGACCAGCCTGGCCTAGCTCAGTTTCCACCACTCACCTCTCGGAGCCCACTGTCTACTCTGAAATGGGAACAATAAGAACATCCATGGGGCTGGGAGGTTCACAGCCCGATGTACCATACTGGGTGAGCGAGAGGTACCTGCTCTTTTCCCCTTCACAAGGAGGGAATAGGAGAGTTACCTCTCTGACAGTGCAGGGAGTAGACACAGGTCTGAAATCTGGCTCAGTCACAGGCAAGCCTGTGGCACTGAATTTATCTCCATCTGAACCTCAGCCGCTGCCTCCACGTGATGGGAAGGTGTGTGGTTTATATAGGATGCCAGTGTCCAGGATTGGCTCCCGTAGCCCTGGAGGGGTGTCTCTTCCCCAACCCCATTCCACCCAGAAGGTGAGGGGAGGTCCTACTCCCCCATGTCTATCTCAGAAGCCCCCTAGTGTCTCTCGCGCCCACCACAGTGGCCCTTGTTACTACAACGGGAGCTGAGCTGCCTGTCTTCCAGGGGACCTCATCTCCCGCCTCACCTCGGACACCACTATGGTCAGTGACCTGGTCTCCCAGAACATCAACATCTTCCTGAGGAACACAGTCAAGGTCACAGGCGTGGTGGTCTTCATGTTCAGCCTCTCATGGCAGCTCTCCCTGGTCACCTTCATGGGCTTCCCCATCATAATGATGGTGTCCAACATCTATGGCAAGTACTACAAGGTAGGCCTCGCCTTGTCCTTGCTGTGATCTGAGCCTTGACAGCTACTCCACCCCCTTAAACGAGGCTCAGAGGACCACGGAGGTGGGAGTGTCTAGGGAGCTAGGAAGGGACATCTTGAGGCTGTGTTTGTGTTCATTCATTTGGTTTTTTTTTTTTTTTTTTTTTTGTGGTACTAGGGCTTGAATTCAGGGTCTTCACCTTGAGCCACTCTACCAGCCCTATTTTTGTGAGGGTTTTTCAAGATAGGGTCTCACAAACATTTTTGCCCAAACCATGATCCTCCCAATCTCTGCCTCCTGAGTAGCTAGGATCACAGGCATGAGCCATCAGTGCCTGGCTCATTTGATAAATACTTACCAAGTGCCTCCTGTACGTGGGCCTGGGAAACATCAGTGAAACAGACCCCTGCCCTCATGGGACTAATGGTTACTGGAATAGGTGGGCCATAGATAGTGACAATATCAATACATGATGTGGTGAAAGATGGTGGGTGCTGAGGAGAAACACGAGGCAGGGAGGCAGGCAGCATGGGAGTGTGTGTGGCTGCAGTTCTGCACACATCTCAAGGAGACACTGGAGTAAGGACCTGAAGGAGGCAAGCAGCTTGGGACAGTGTGTTCTGAGCAGAGGGCTCAGTCAGTGCAGACACCCTAAGACAAGAATGTGCTTAGCATGTTTGAGAAACTGTAAGACTGGAGTGACGAGGACAGCAGGGAGGTGACAGGCCAGGCCAGATGGTGTAGGCCTTTGCAAGGACCCTTTGCTCTTTCTATGGATTGGTGGGGAGGGAAGTTTAGGCCCTGCCTATGGTGTCGTGAAGGGCAGGCGACAGCCCCCTCTAGCTTCCTCCTCCTGCCACTGCCTCCCAGCAAGCAGAGGTAGGTCCAGCCTCACCTTCCCTTGCCTCCTGGATTGGTGGGTGCCCCAAAGGCCTAAGGAACCCAGGCTGAGTTCAGACAGGCCTGGGCCCCCTGACAGGTGCAGGCAGCCTCTGTCCCAACAAACCAGGATCCTGGGAGGAGGGTCCTGAGCAGGGGCTCCAGATTTTACTCGGTAGCTCACTGTCCCCAGCTCTGTGGGAACCTTCAGTGCCCATGACCTGAAGGCAGGGTAGCAAGAGGAGCCATCTCCTGCCAGCACCAAATGAACCCATTCCCCACAGCCTCCTCCAGCCACACAGGAGGGACCTCTTTCTTGCAGTCCTGAGGCATGAGCCTCACTAGTTTCCTCACGAAGGAGAAAAAGAAGATAGTTGGGGTTGGAACCAGTTCCCTTCCTCTACCCTCACCCAACCTTCTGCTTGCCCACCAGCCCTTGGGTCAGGAACCTTGGAGCCCTCAGCCTCTTCCACTTCCCTGCACCTCAATCCCCTCCTCCATGTTCAGGTGGGTGGAGCCTCCAGGAAGCTCCATTATGTTCCACCTCATGCCTAAATGTAGACTGTCACCAGCAAGTCATCCCCACAAACCACACACACCACCCACCAGACATGACTCAGGGCGTGGAGTGGCTCCTCTAGGGTGCGGGTGCCCTACCTGCTGTCCTTGACTAGGCCTGACATGCAGGTCTCAGGACATGCAGTGCACAGTCCCATCCTGGCCTCTCAGAGGCTGGTTTGGGAATCCAAGTGTTAACTGCTGCACAGTTGGAGCAGCTCTGCCCAGACCCTCCATCAGAATCATGGTAGGCCCACTTCTCTGCCATCTTCCTGTGGTTATACACACACCATGTGGGCAGATTTCTCAGCCCAAGGCGTCCACCACTATCTAGAACTTGACTGGGAGTTCTGGAATCTCTGGACCGATTCTCAGACTCTCACTAATTTACGTGGAGAATCGAAGTGTCCTCTAAGAGCTGGTGTCTCTTGTATTGTGTACAGCCTAAAGTACTGCACAGGGCCTCCCTGCTCTTATTCCAGCACAGGATCAGGTGTTGAAGCTTCTTTTCTGAAAGAATTACCTAAAACCATCATTGTGAGTAGCCTTTGAGTACTGAAGGTGACTTATTCTTCCTCATCCTTCGCCCAAGAGCCCTGCCTGAGTCTGTTCTCTGAGCATGTCAGATGAAGCTGGGAGATAGGATTGTAGTGGAGGTAGATCTTGTCCTTTTGTCCCAGGGAGCTTCCTGCACTGAGCTGGCATCGCAGAAGGGTGGAAAAGCCGGGAAAATAGTGAAGCTCTCTGTTTTGAGGTCTCCTCCTGCCCTCCTGCCCACAGAGGCTCTCCAAAGAGGTCCAGAGCGCCCTTGCCAGAGCTAGCAACACAGCTGAGGAGACCATCAGCGCCATGAAGACGGTCCGTAGCTTTGCCAATGAGGAAGAGGAGGCAGAAGTATACCTGCGGAAGCTGCAGCAGGTGTACAAGCTGAACAGGAAGGAGGCGGCGGCCTACATGTCCTATGTCTGGGGCAGCGGGGTATGTGCACCTGGCCTGGGCCATCTGACCACAGGAGACAGATGCACAGATGGGGACCCCTCCATGTAGGACATTAGCACAGCCATCACATGTTAGCATCAAAGTAGCAGAGAATCTTTCCAGAAAAGAGTGCAGCTCCTGGCATATGCCCTCTGTGTGCTGCCTCTGTCCTGCTCCTGGGCTAGGTGGCAGGGTTGGTACAAGTTTTTTCTCCCAGCTGGGGACACATCAGAGACTTCACCCCCAGGCCAGCCAGGTACCAACCTAGGTCACTTTCTAGTAGGTCCAGTGTCACAACCATATACACTCCTCAGGAGAATCAGAGTACATGATCCCTCACTGCCTCACAGCTCCATGGGAGGCGGCTGGTCTGGTGCTAGCTGGGGGAGGAGGGAGAAGGGCTGGAGTTTCAGGGCAGGAAGGAGCTGGAGATCTGCTGGAGAACCCGGGCAGGGACCATCTGGTTCTGCCAGGAGGCCACCCCCTGCTGAAAAGCACCAGCAAAGGAGAGAAAGGGCCAAAGTTCCAGTCTGCTAGCCAAGCCTCTTAGCAATATGTCCCCAGCAGGGGCACCATTCTTACCACTCATCATTTGTAGCTAGGTCCAGCTGTTCATGTAGCATGGGGAGAACTGATTGGGACCCTGCTTAGGTTGTGGGTTGTGGGTACTCAGAATCCGCTCATCTCCTGAACACCTCCTCCTGCAACAACAGCAGAGCAGGATGGGGGCAAAGGTGCCCCAGGCACACCCCTCCTTCATGAAGCCTAGTTGGAGGAGGAAACAAAGATCTCATCATGCTACTCTGCCCAGTTGGCTGTGTGAGTTTAGCTAGTGTACCTAACTTCTCTGAGCCATGCTCTTTTCAATGAGGAAGACCGATAGTCCCCACTTGGCTCAGCTGAGGAGCTTGGGGGTAGCATGTGTGAGCCAGGCCCTTACAAAGAAAGCCTTGTTCTCAGGCCAAGCCCACAGCCTGCCCCAGCTGGGGCCTCATAGGGAGCTGCTCCAGGGCATCCTGCCAGTGGCTGGAGCTGCAGTTTGTTGCAGTGTGCTGAGTCCTCCAGGCTGATCCCACCTCCCTGGGGTGTAGAGAATGGGGGGTGGGGCTGAGGCAAGACCCCTAGTAACCTGAGCCCTCCTCTCCATGTGCTGCAGCTCACACTGCTGGTGGTTCAGGTCAGCATCCTTTACTACGGGGGCCACCTCGTCATCTCAGGGCAGATGACCAGCGGCAACCTTATCGCCTTCATTATCTACGAGTTTGTGCTGGGGGACTGCATGGAGGTGAGACCCGAGGGGGAGTCCAAGAAGGGCTGGCTGGGATGCCTGAGGTAGGTAGTGCAGAGAACAGAGGAGCCCCAAGTGTGACAGTGCTGCTAACAACAGGTGACTCCATTGATTGAGCAAGGGACAGTGACAGAGATGGCTTTGGGAAACACTCAGGAGCTCCATGAGAGGTTCAAGTGCTGTGAAATTCCCATTTCTCAGGAAAGGAAACTGAGGCTGAGAGGGGTTAAGTGACCCACCCACATGCTTGGAGGGGGAACTGGGTTCAAAGCTAGCCAGGTGGACTGGGGGAGTGGCTTAAATGGCAGAGCACTGCCAAGGGTGAGGCCCTGAGTTTAAACCCCAGTGCCGCAAAAAAAAAAAAAAAAAAAAAAAAAAGAATATGCCAAAGCTAGCCAAGTGGGACTTTATCTTCACCCCCCTTAGAGAACAGTGGATAGAGAACCAGGGGTGTCAGATTGGGTTCCTTACATGGGTCCCAGTATGAGCAGACCCTGAGACAGAATTGGGGTACAACTGATTTATGTAGGAGGTGTCCAGGAAATGGGGCAGAGATAGACAATGAGATGGGAAAGGAAGGAAGTCCACAAAGGGCCACTTTCCAAGCCTGTTCCTGGCATGGCCAGGTGCTCCATCGTGGGGGCAGTGTAGCACAGTACCTCAGAGCATCCAACCTGAGGGCGAGGGAACCCCAGAAAGTTTATACCCAACCTGCCAGCAGTCATTGTGCCAGGTGAGTCTGGAGTGGGCGCTGATTCCCTGCTCTGCCTCCCTCCCAAGGAAAAGGCTCCCAGGTAGTTAGAGGTTGGATCTGTGTTCCACAGTGGTGAGGCACAAGGATGTGGGGGCATTGGCAGCATTTGCACAAGCCCCAAAGTGGCACTGCTGCTGCTTTTTTGACTTAGCAGTAATTCTGCCTCTGGGAATCGTGCTTCAAAAATACACCAGAGGGAAGAGGCACCTCCCAGGTTGTTCAGTGCAGTGTCATTTATGAGTGAGAAATAGAAGTACCCTTCAGTGCCCATGCAGCAGTGATGGGATAAGTAAGTATGCTGCATCTGTACTCCAGAGACAGCCTGTCGTCCCAGGAGAGCCAAGGCAGCCTTCAGGGAGTGGAGCGTAATGTGAGCTAACATACCCCCAAGTGCAAAAGACAGATCCCTAAGATGTGGTCTGATCCCATTAGCGTCTTTTGAAAATCTCAAAACAACCTAACCATGTATGTGCCTGTGTTTGGGAATGCCAGAGAAAGGACTAGAAAGATGCAGTGCATTGCTGCCGGTAGCTGCCTCTGGGATAAAGGGGATGAAAGCCCCTCTACACAGTCTTGGTCTCTGATCATTAGTAACCCTGCTCTCAGCAGTGTGTTGAAGTTAGTGGTAACCAGCTCACTTGTGGCTGATTGAGTGTGTCCTCAATGCTAACACTGTCTTCACGACAGCATGCCCCTGGTGTTAATGCTACCCCCATATCACCATTAAGGACACTCCAACAGAGCCTTTAAGGGCCTGAACTCGGGAGCCAGGCATGCCTGAATTCAAATCTTGGTACACGGTGAGACACTTATCCTTTTTTTTTCTTATTATAAATTTTTTATTAGGATATATTCTTTATACAGGGTGAGACCCTATCTTAAAAAAAAAAGTCAACAAAATGGACCATTATTACTATTCATATTTATATTGAGTATATTTTTGCCCAAAGAGAGAATATATTTATGTACAATATCCACAAAGACCCATTTTTAAAATTTAAATTAAAACACAGCGGCTGGAAGACCAAGGCTGGATTGCAGTTTTGACACATTTCTTGCTGCTTCCTTTAACTTCTATGCAATTCTGTTTCCTTCTCTGGAGGGTTGGTAACACCTATGCTGGGGGAATTAGTTAGTGATAATGACTGTGAGGCGTGGTTCCCACTGCTCTGACAAATGCAGTATTACTTTTTATTGCCACCCTCATTTTTTTATTATCATTATTGTACACTGTAGTAGCACGTAGCACCCTGAGGTGGGGGGGGCTCTGCATTTCCCCCAAAGCCACTTCTCTGTCCTCGTTCTCCCTGCACCTGCTTACTTCCCTGATACTATGGTGGGACTCAGGAGCGGGTTGTCAGTGGGACGGGAATGTGTGTCTCCTCCCTGCAGTCCGTGGGCTCCGTGTACAGCGGCCTGATGCAGGGTGTGGGGGCTGCTGAGAAGGTGTTCGAGTTCATTGACCGACAGCCGACCATGGTGCATGATGGGAGCTTGGCCCCAGACCACCTGGAGGGCCGGGTAGACTTCGAGAATGTGACCTTCACCTACCGCACTCGGCCCCATACCCAGGTCCTGCAGGTGAGAGGGGCTCAGGGTCTGCCTGAATTCTTCCCTCTTGCTTCTGGCACCTCCTGCACACCAGGCCCCGGCACAGTGGCCAGGAATACATGAGGCAGGGTCCCTGCCCTGAAAAGTCTGGGCTCCAGTTGGGGAAAATGTGGCCATCACAGAATGACTCCAGATAAGAAGTGCTGGGAAGAAAATAAACCAGAGCACTGTTTGGAGATAGTGTATGAGCTTGGCAGAGGAAGCATAAGGGTGCCCCTGTATCCTAGAAAGGACAACATCCAGGGGCCAGCTGTGCCCAGCCAAGGAGGGGGACATGGGGTGGGTGGAAAGGGCAGCCATCTGTCTGAGGCCCAAGCCTCCAGTCTCAGGACCTGAGCAGTGACCCCACACAGTGCCTCTGTGTTCCTTGCAGAATGTCTCCTTCAGCCTGTCCCCAGGCAAGGTGACAGCCCTTGTGGGGCCCTCAGGCAGTGGGAAGAGTTCCTGTGTTAACATCCTGGAGAACTTCTACCCGCTGCAGGGTGGCCGTGTGCTGCTGGACGGCAAGCCCATCGGCGCCTATGACCACAAGTACCTGCACCGTGTGGTGAGTGCCTCAGCCTTGCTGTTCCCCTGCCCCCCTGCCTCTCCCTCGGATGATTGAGCACGCTCAAGAGAAGGGTGCAGTTGGAAGAATTGTCTCCAGTGTGACACCACCAAGGTCATGAGACCCAGCATTCCAGCACCCAAGAAGCCTCCACATGCCTCTTCTCTTCCCCCAGGGGTAAAGTTGCACCTGACTTTTCACAGTCACCATCTTCTTATCTTCCTTCCTTCTTTTATTTATTTATGTATTTTTTTTTTGGTAGCATTGGGATCAGGGACCCACTTGCAAGGCAGATGCTGTACCACTTGAGCTATGCCCCCAGCCTTTTCCCTTCAGGTATTTTTTGAGCAGAGTCTTGCATTTATATTCTGGGGCTGGCCTGGACCTCAGTCCTATTTATACCTCCCGCATAGCTATACAACAGGCTCCATGTTACACTACCTTTTATTGATTGAGATGGGGTCTCGTGTACTTTTTGCCTAATCTGGCCTCCAACTGCAATCTTCCTGGATCTCTGCCTCCTGAGTGCTGGGATGTTAGGCATGTACCACTACCCTGGCTCATTTTCTTGCTTTTCATTACTTTTGCTATCTCTTCGTGCATCCCCAAACAGTATAGCTCTGTCTCATCTGGTCTAAGCTTCATCTAGAAGAATCAAAGTTGGCTGTCTGTATCCATGGGTTCTGCAAATTCAGTCAGCTGTGGATTGATGATTTTTTTAGTTGTATCTGTATTGAACATGTACAGATTTTTAATCATTGTTCCTTAGTACAGTATAACAACTATTTACAGAGCATTTACAATGTGTTAGGTATCATAGTCATCTAGAGATGCTTAAAACTATAAGGGAAGGGCTGGAGCATGGCTCAAGTTCTAGAACACCTGCCTAGCAAGTGTGAGGTCCTGAGTTCAATCCCCAGTACTGCCAAAACCAAAAGAGAGCAAAAAAATATAGAGGAGGATGGACGTGGGCTCTATGCAAATACCTCACCATTTTATACAAGGAACTGGGGCATCCAGGGATTTGGATATCAGAGGGGTCCTGGAACCCATCCCCTGAGGATGCAGAGGGATGACTGTGCTTGAATCTCACTGTCCCGCTCTGCATTGTGTAACAGGCTGAGGCTGTGGCTGTGACTCACATTCATTGCCAAATGCTACTCCACTGTGCTGACATTCACACACAGTCTATGCACACATGCTGCTTTTGATGGGTATTTGGGTCATTTCTCTTCCCTCCCACCCCGGTACTGGGGTTTGAATTCAGAGTCTACACCTTAAGCTACTCCACCGCCCTTTTACGTCATGGGTTTTTTTGAGATACTCTCAAAATAGTTTGATACTCTCGCACTATTTGCCTGGGCTGGCTTTGAACCACAATCTTCCTGATCTCTGCCTCCTGAGTAGCTAGGATTACAGGTGTGAACCACAGCACCCAGCTTTCTTTCCTTTTCTTTTTTTTCTAACCATTACCAACACTACCAATGAAGGGTGTCCCTGTTTCTTGGTGTGCGTGAGTATTCCCCGAAGTGTAATCCTCAGAGTAGAAAAGCTTGGTGCCTATCCCCAGCTTTGCCAGTTTCTGCATAACTGTTTTCCAAGGTGATGGTACCAATGACATCCCACTAGCAGTTGATAGGCGTTGCGTTTGTTCCACACATAGGTCATCTCGCATGCTCAAAGGAAGCTAGTAGTGACCGTACAATTTTGGTAATCCTTTCAGAAAAGGAGCCTCAACACTGGATCTGTGCTGATACACAAGCAAGAAGGTCTATATGGGCATTCACTTATGTACTGTCCAAGGAACACCAAGTATTAGGGGGTGGCACTTACATCAACATACACTAAGTCATATGAGAACCTAAGGTTGGCACACAGGTTCCAGAATTACTGACCAAGCTCTTTTGTGTGATTGTGTGTTGGGGACAGACCCAGGCCTCATACATGCGAGGCAAGCACTCTACCTCCGGGCTACACTACCAGCCCCTGCCAAACTCCAGATGGTGGCATAGGCCACAGACTGGGAAATCTCCATACATGGAACATATATAACCAGAGAGAGATGGCTGAGAAGTGACCATCTAAGTTTGTGACCCACCAGGCTGCTGTTCTAGAAGAACTAACCATAGCAACCTCACCACAGTCCCATATTTTTATTTTTATTTATTTTTGGCACTACTGGGGATTGAATTTGGGGCCTCAGGCTTGCTAGGCAGGTGCTCTACCACTTGAGCCACTCCACCAGCCCAGCCCATATTTTCAGTGAATTTTATAATGAGGACATGAGTGCCCTGCTATCTCACCTTTCAAATTCTACCCCATGGAGTAGCCAGTGTTGGTATATTCCTTTCCAGTTCACTTCCTGTCCTTATGTAAATACATCGACATATGACAGCACAGGAACATAATTTTTAGCGAAGTAGAATCATGGTATTTATATGTATTTACTGCAGTTTGGTTGTGTGAATGTAGCTATTTAACCAGCCCTCAGTTTATGGACAGCTAGGTTGTTTCCAGTCATTCACTCATTCCCTTTACAGTACTGCAATGATATCTTCCATGCCATTATTTTTATAGGCCAGATTCCTAAACCGGATCATAGGACAATAGCTCTTTGAATTGTTCCCTTAGAAGGGAGGGGACAACTGTCAGGGAGATCTCTGTGGCCCGAAGGCCTGCTATGGCCTCTTGCTTCCTGACCTGGCAGGTGCGTTCACAGAATTGCATTCTCACTTGCTCTTTCTTTTTTTCAGGACAGGCACAGACGGTGGATGTGGCTAAGCCCAGAGCAGCATGTTTAGTGGGCCCCACTGGGTCCAACTGGGGAGGCTAGGAGGCTGTGGAGCGTGGGTCTCTTCCACTGGGAAGGAAGAGAGGCAGCTGAGCACAGCCACTAGATCAGGTTTCAGACCTGAGACTCCTGGCGTCGGCCTGGCCATGCTGGTGAAGCTGCTGGTGACAGCTGGATGGACCCATTCCCAGCCTCCTTTCTCCCTCACAGATCTCCCTGGTCAGCCAGGAACCTGTGCTATTTGCCCGCTCCATCACAGACAACATCTCCTATGGCCTACCCACTGTGCCCTTTGAGATGGTGGTGGAGGCTGCACAGAAGGCCAACGCCCATGGCTTCATCATGGAGCTCCAGGATGGCTACAGCACAGGTACAGAGTCTAGCATCACTTCCACTGTGCCTGGAAGCCACCCTTAGGGATGAGACCCTCTTGAGTTACATTGTCCTCTGCCACCTGTTCTTTGTCATTTATTTTCCTTTCATTGAGGTAAATTCACATAACATAAACATTACCATTTTAACATGGTATCCATTTGCATGAAAGCTTAATCTGTGTGGTTTATAAACAGGGTTCATAAACTCAGTTTCCTGAGAGTCCCAGCTGTTGGTAGTTCTAGCCACAGGATCCCTTGAAACTTATGGAAAGCCCATTGCCCAGGGTGTCAGGGAGAGGCTTCTTGCCCTTCTCAGTGGCTTCCCAGTCTTCTTTCCTGCTAACTTGCTTTGTGCCGCCACCACAGAGACGGGGGAGAAGGGTGCTCAGCTGTCAGGCGGCCAGAAGCAGCGGGTGGCCATGGCCCGGGCCCTGGTGCGGAACCCACCTGTCCTCATCCTGGATGAAGCCACCAGTGCTCTGGATGCAGAGAGCGAGTACCTGGTGAGTGGCAGGTGGCCAAGGAATGCTGGAGCAGGAGTAGCTCCAGGAGGAAGAGCTTATAGATGGCCATAGGCACCCCCAGGCCATCAACTCCCTGAACTGGTGATTTTGCTAAGGGTGGGGTAGTGGGGAGAGGAGGCCCTGGCCTTGGTCACTCTGGGCCCAGCCTCCCAGTTCTAGTCACAACTAAAGCCATTTAATACAGGAACAAAAGGTTATCAGAGTCAGAGGACTTGGATCAGAAGCTCCACCCTGAAAATTATTTATTTCTGGGTTTTTTTTTTTTTGGTAGTGCTATGGCTCAAACCCAGGTCCTTGCACAAGTACACTATTGAACTACACCCCTAGCTCCACCCTGCAGCTTATAACATGACCTTGAACTAGTCTCTCCTCTCTTAAGTCTCATTTTCATTGGTAAAGAAGGTCCAGTAATGTATTGGTAGATGGCTAATGACTGACTTCCTCCTGGGCACTGTTCTAGGCGCTGGAGTTACAGTGATTGGCTGACCGCCATTCCCCTGGCAACAAGACAGCTGTCCCATGGTGTTTCTAGTCCCACGGGGAAGGCAGACAGATAATAACTAAGGAAACAAGCATGTGTTCCCCCTGTGGCCTGTGCTACAAAAGAAAATGAAAGATCATGTGATTCAGATAGCTTGGGAGGGGCTGTCCTTGCCAAAGACAAACACAGCTGGACATCCCGAAACCAGCTTTTGTTCAGTAACGGGCAACAGTCAGAACTGCTGAGCTCTATCCCCATTTGTGCAGAGGCCTTGGGTGGTTTGAAAGGGAGAAGGAGAGAGTGGGGAGAGGAGAGAGCAGGGACTCAAGTGCAGAATTACCAAGGTTCTCAGGGTGGATACAGTGAGGCCCTGTGTCTGTGTGAGTGACCCAAGTCAAGGAAGTTAGCAGTTCTAGAGGTAAGAGCATCCCAGGAGGATGGGGCAGCAGATGCAAGGAATGACATTGGCAAGTTGAAAGCCAAGCAAAAAAGTCAATATGGCTGGTAGGTGGAGGTTGAGCAGAAAGAAGCCAGGACACACTCATAGCAAGACACAAATTCCTTGGGCCCTTGTAAGGATTTTGGACTTTTTTGTAACAATTAATTCACTTTTATTTTTTAGAGCAGTTTTTGAGGTTTAAAGACAAAGCAGAAAGCACAAAGTTCCCATGTACCCCCTTCTAAACTCCCCTCTGGCCCCCATTGTTAAGCTCTTGCACCAGCATGACATGTTTGTTACAATTGGTTAACCAAAGTGACTAAAATCCATGGTTTACTTAGGGCTCAAGTCTTGGTGTTATGCAGTTCTGTGGCCTCTGACAAACACAGAAAGTCAGATACCTAGTCACAATGCCATACAGAATAGTACCACTACCCAAGAATTCACCTAGGAGTTGAGACATACCCTAATGTCAGATACGGAGCTATTGAAGGGTTTGGAGCATGTGTTTAACAAGAACTGATTAAACCATATTTTAGATCTGGGTGTATAGTTCAGTGGTAGAGCACTTGCCTAGTATGCACAAGCCCTGGGTTAGATCCCCAGTACCACAAACTTAATTGACTAAAATGTTTTAAATCCATTTGGGAAATGCACAGGAGCCAAGCAGGAAAGTCGTAGGCATGCAGGTGACAAGTAATGGTGGGAGAGACAGGAACAGGGAAACTGTGGGGAGATAGAAGCTGCAGGATTCACAGCATTGGGTGATGCTGCAAGGTGAGGCAGGTGCCTGATTTTGTCCACTGAAACTTTGGGCCCTGACCTCTGTCTCTCTTTAAATGAAGATGCAGCCCTCATTTTACAAATGGGGAGCTGAGTCTCAGGTTGAGCTGGAGCAGGGGTGTGGGGGCCGAGGTGGCACAGAGCAGCCCTGAGAGCCTGCTCTCTGCTCTTCCACAGATCCAGCAGGCCATCCACGGCAACCTGCAGAAGCACACAGTGCTCATCATTGCGCACCGGCTGAGCACTGTGGAGCGGGCGCACCTCATCGTGGTGCTGGACAAGGGCCGTGTGGTGCAGCAGGGCACACACCAGCAGCTGTTGGCTCAGGGAGGTCTCTATGCCAAGCTGGTGCAGCGACAGATGCTGGGGCTTGAAGCCCCCTCAGACTACACGGCTAGCCACAAGGAGCCACCTGGGAACGGTAGTCACAAGGCCTGACCATCGGCATGGCTTCTCCCAGTGGGGCAGAGACCCCATGCCTGCCTGGCACATGTGCCCGTGGGACCCTGGCAGCCCCTAGTAGCTGTCCACAGCCAGGCTGCAACACTGGAGGGTGACCTGCCACGTCCCATGTTTCACTGCTTCCTGCATCTCGCCTCCTTCCACCCTCTTCCCGAGGGCACCTCCAGCCCCATGCTGCCATCGGCCTCCCTGTCCTAGTCTCCCCACCTGGCCTCCCAGGCTGTAGTAAATGTAGAGCCACCTTTTTAAATCAAGACCTTACCAGGTTTTTTTACTGCTTGGTTCAATTCACTCCAGTCAACTCCTAGATTTCAAAACCATTTTTCTAATTAGGACTAATGGTGGTAAGTTCACCAAGATGTTCTAGAAACTTCTGAGCCAGGAGTGAACTGCCCTTCCCAAAACCTGGGGGATGTCAGGAGAGAACTAGGCCCTACCCTTCACCCCTCCAGAGAAGGGACTTCCCTGTCTCAAGCCAGACATAGGAGCCAGGTTTTCTTTCTCTCTCTCCGCCAGCTCCGTGAGTCAGGCCAGGGTGGGTGCCAGAGCGTCCGTTTGCCCGTTACCCCTCCCAATCAAAGCCAGTCTCACTGTGAACCACTACGAACCTCAACAGGGGAGTGAGGCGCTGGCCAGGCCTGGGGGTCCTCCAGATGCCCCCAGCCCTGCACACAGCGCTTTAGCCCCTTGGCCTGCCTCGCCCCTCCCCCTGGCTGGCAGCCTCCCTTCATGTCCACCTGCTGCTCTGCTGTTTGGAGGCCTCTGGTTGTTTGCAAGGTGCATTCTCTCCTTGTTTGTGATGGGACTGTGGCAAAGCCCAGGGTCCAGCTTTGTCCAGGGTTGCTGGATATTGGAAGAGTCCGGTCAATAAAGTGTACTACCTCTGACCTCTGACCTGTCCTTGGGCCATCTGTCCCATTGCCTGGCTCTTCCCCCAGCCCTGTTTGGTGGAGCTGCCAAGGGACCTTGGGTGGCCCCAGGCCTCCACCCAGTGTCTGGGAGGCCATCTGCACCCAGGATCTCTAGCCCAGGCATTCATGCCCATCTGTCTCTCTGAGCCTTTGCAGGGTGATAAAAATGATCTCCAAATCTGAGACCTCTCTGTGTCCCAGGATGGCTGGGACCCTGCAAACACCACCTGTGTTTTCTACCAGGGTCCAGGCCCACCACACTCATCTACCCCATGAAGTAGAGAAATACTACCGTGGGTGCCAGTGGCTCACACCTGTAATCCTAGCTACTCAGGAGGCAGAGATCAGGAGGATGGCAGTTCAAAGGTAGCTGGGCTAATAATTCGAGGGACCCTATCTCAAAAAACCCCATCACTGTCTGGTGGAATGGCTCAAGGTGTAGGCAGAGTTTAAATTCTAATACCAAACACACACAAAAATACTACCTTGCAGGACAGCTCAGAGGGAGGCCTGGGTGGACCCTGTGGATTTTTCATTGTTTGAGGTTTTTTGGTGTTTTCTTCTTTTGTTTTGTTTTTGGTGGTACTGGGGTTTGAACTCAAGGCTTCTCACTTGGTAAGCAGGTACTCTACTGCTTGAGCCATGTTTCCAGCCCTTTTTGCTGTTTTGGAGACTGTCTCGATTTTTGGCCCAGGCCAGCCTGGACCCTAATTTGAGCTTCCCTTTGTTACATTTAATCCTCACCACTACCTTCAGAGACCAGTATTCTTCCTATTTTAAAGTGGTTCACATCTGTAATCCTAGCTACTCAGGGAGCAGGATGACAGTTCAAGGCCAGCCAGGGTAAATGGTTCATGAGACCCTATCTTGAAAATATCCAACATAAAAAAGAAAATTTTAATCCCACTTGCAAAGACCCTTTTTCAACCAGGTTTCATTCACAGGTTCCAGGGATTTGACAGGAATCTTCTTTGGGGGACCATGACTGAGCTCCCTACAAAGGGGAACTTGCATCCCTGGCTCATGTTAACCTCAGAAATTGATGTTTGGTTTTGAGGGTGTAAGTGTTCAGAGAGCTAGGGATTTTCAGGTGTTTCCAGAGAAGCTGGAAGTACCAATTCTATTGAAAGAGACCAGCTGTTTTTTTTAAGATCGGCTGTTTTATAGGTTGGTTTAAGACATCTTAACAAAAGCAGGACCAACAAGGCACACCAGTAGGTCATCTCCAGCTGAGAGTTCTCTGGTTTGCATCCTCAGTGTTGAACCAAGCTGTTCTCCAGGGTCGTTGACTCCCAGACCCTATACTCCCCTTCTGCCCCTTGCTTCCCTCATCTCTTCCTTCCCACACTGGGGACCCCAGAGTCTTCTTCCTCTCCCAAGCCAAGGAGGTCAGCTCAAGCACCCCAAACCCAAAAGTGAATCCTGGGCAGACAAAAGAAACTTCCAGGGACAGCCCCTCTTTAGAAGGTAGAGTTTTAAATAAATGCCTTATTTTGGAATAATTTTATACTTACAGAAAAAAATACAGAGTTCCTAACAGTTCCCAGTGTTACACAAACATCTCCCCTCCTAAAGTTCGATTGTCACAGCTAGACACATCAATGAAGGAAACTGAGTTTTTTGGTATTTCACCTTGGGAAACCACACGGACCCTGGAGAACAGCTTGCTTCAACACTGAGGTTGCAAACCAGGGACCCCCCCAGCTGCAGACGACCTTCAGGGGCACCCTGTTAGTCCTGCTTTTGTCAAAACAAAAACAACTTAAGTTGATCTGTAATAAATCAGCTGACCTCACTTCCAACTTCTCTGGAAACATCTGAAGATCCCTAGTTCTACAATTTTTCTGCCACTGTCTTTTCTTCTGTTCCAGGACTCAATCTAGGGTACTACATGATATGATTTAGAGATATGATTTTTTTTTTTATTTATAGGCTGGCAGAATGATGGAAAGTGGTACAGTGCCTGCCTAGTAAGCATGAGACCCTGAGTTCAAACCCCAGTACCGCAAAAAAAAAAAAAAAATCATTATTAGTGACACTCACAGTGCTGTGCAGTCATCACCACTATATAGTTCTGGAATATTTTTAATCACCACCCCCCAAAAAACAACTTAGGACCACAACCCCATATTCCCCTTCCCCCAGCCCCTGGCATTTTCATAAATCCTACAATGTGCGGCTTTGTGTATCTGACTTCTCTCACTCAGCGTGTTTTCAGCGTCTATCCGTATTGCAGCATGTGTCAGAACTTTCCTCCTTTTTCTGGCTAAATAATAGTCCATTGTGTGAAGGGACCAGAGTGTCTATCATTCACCCACTGCTGGATAGTTATGAATAGTGTTGCTGTGAACATCTTTTTTTTGTGCAGACTTCTGTTTACACTGTATACACTAAGCATTGCTGGGTCACATAAGTCACTCTGTTTTCTGTTATTCATTTTTTTTATCTTTTATTTTTTAAATTATAGCCATCCTAGTGGGGGAGAGGTAGAGATGACTTTGAAAGGTAACTTTTTTTTTGGTTGCAATTAATTTAGCCTGCCATCTGTCCCAGGCGCTATGTTACAACTGAGCCAGGAAAAGCCATTCCAGTCTGGGTCTTCAGGGATTGCAGGCACATGTCATATCCAGCCAGAGAGATGGGTAAGGAAGCCAGGAGGGTTGTGGGGACCTGAGCAGGCTGAGTCCTGCGTGAGATTCAGGGTTAGGCGGGGCAGACTCATAGGCATGCAGCCATGCAGATGCAAGGCCTCGTGCACAAAGGACGCATGCTTGTTTAAAGCTCTCCAGGTGCCATCTTGAAACTCTGAATAAGCTGCAAACCAGGGCTCACATTTTTCACTCTACCCTTGAACTACATTCCCCAGCCTGGAAACTCCCGTTGAGATTTGACTGACATGGTGGCAGTGTTGGGAAGCGGGGCTTTTAAGAGGTGATTACCTCTGCCTTCTGGAATGGATTAATCCACTGCATGGATTGATGGATAAATGGGGTAGGGTAGCTCTCTCTCGAAGCTTTCTTTTATTTTTTATTTTTTGGTGGTACTGGGATTTGAACTCAGGGCCTCACACTTCCTAGGGAGGCACTCTACCATTTGAGCCACTCCTCCAGCCCCTTGTTTGCAATGGGTTTTTTTTGAGATAGGGTCTCTCGAACTACTTGCCCAGGTTGGCTTTGAACTTCGATTCTCCTGATCTCTACCTCCTGAGTAGCTAGGATTACAGGTGTTAGCCACCAGTGCCCAGCTCTCTGGCAGCTTTCTGTCTTGCCATGCAGTGTCTTCTGAAATGTATGATGCAAAAAGAGGTCCTCACCAGATGCCAAGCAGACGTCAGCCCCATGCACTGGAACTTCCTGGCCTCCAGAACCGTAAGCTAAACAACGTCTAGTCTTTATAAATTACCCACCATCAGTGGGTTTGGCTTTTTTTTTTTTTTTATGGTACTGGGGTTTGAACTCAGGGCCTTCACCTTGAGCCCCTCCACCAGCCCTATTTTTGTGAAGGTTTTTTTCGAGATAGGGTCTTGCAGAACTGTTTGCCTGGGCTGGCTTCAAACCTCAGTCCTCCTGATCTCTGCCTCCTGAGTAGCTAGGATTACAGGCTTGAGCCACCAGCACCCCACTCAATTTTTTTTTTTAAACTAAGTACAGTACAAGACGTGTGGTGGAAATTTACACAGGGGGAGGCTATAGTTTGAATGTGTCCCCCAATGTTGATGTGTTGGAAACTTAATCCCCAATATTGAGAAGAGCAATTAGGTCTTGGGGGCTGATGAATGGGTAAATGTCACCCTGGGATTAGGGTTGCTATAAAAACCATTCCAGTCCTGTCTGTATCTCTGCCATGTGACACCTTTCAACAAGTTCTGACGAAGTAAGCAGGTCCTCACCAGACGCAGCCCCTCAGTCTTGGCTTCCCAGCACCCAGAAAGTGAGGCAAATTATTTTTTTGCTCATTTTAAATTTCCTGGTCTGTCATGTCTTGTTATACCAGCTCAAAAAGGAAGGCATAGATGGAATATGCATCTCAAAACCCCAAAATGAGCAAAAAAGCCTACTGCAGAAAAACAGGACTGCTTATGTTAATTAAAACACAAAACAATATCAAATATATTTTGGGGTAGGGAAATATGAGCCTAAAGTTTTAATGGACTGGGGGCCACACACTTAATCACGATGGAGTTTCTCGCTGGGGATGGGAGACATGAAGATGATATGAAGAGTTTGCTTCTTTCATTAAGAATAAAAATAAGCAGGGCATGAGGGTGCACACCTGTAGTCCCAACACGAGGGAGGCTGAGGCAGGAGGATTGAAAGTTTCAGGGCCAGCCTGAGCTACACAGCCAGACCCTGTCTCAAAAAAAAGAAAAATAGACTCTAAGCAAGCAGAAGGAAAGGGTCACCATGGCCATCTGTCAGTGGTGGGCACCCCCACGTTACATTGCTCTGTGGATGTTTCTGAGTATTTAAACATCCCCTTGGTTGGAGGTGGGCAGTCAAAGGAACCTACACCACTCCTTCCTTCCGCTGGGCTGGGGAATGCAAATCAGCCGTGTTTGCACTGTGTTCACTGAAAATAAAAGCCGCCGGGGGCAAGCGGACCCTGCCAGGCAGTCACCAAGGGCATGTCCATGTCCTCCCTCCCTAAGAACCACCAATCCTCAGTCCTGCCCTTCTCTAGGGCCTGAAAATGGGCCAGCCTGGCCTTCTAGAAAACTCCACAGAGATGGGACTCTAGAATTTCACACAGACACAGCCATTCCTACTCAGCCAACTTATTTCTGGCCCCAGCTGTTGTGAAAAATAGAGAAAAATTCTTTAACTCCCCCCACCACACACACAAGGGCCTAAAAAAGAGGTTGTTTAGTACTTAGTATTTAAAATTGTGGTAAAATGCCCAAGGCATGAATTGGCCATTTTAGCCAGTTTAAATTGTACAATCCCAAGGTAGAACATCCACTCACATTGCTTCCTTTAGCTTT